TTGCAAAACAATTCTTTTGGTGTTTTGAATAGCAATACATTCTATACATGCTTGAATTTCCTTTTCCTAACTAGCAATTTCTTCAGGGTATTTGTTGAATTGACAGAAAACACAATGGCTCATACAGTGCTCTGGGAGCAGCCCTTTCCTAAAGTCTCCATGAGGAGACTCCCAAATGGTCAATTGACCATTCCAAGTGGCGACAATCTGAGTGTCTTGGACCCTGGGGGTGATATTTCTGGTTGTATTTCCTATTTGTGCATGTCAGGAAGTGGCAGGAACCACTTGAGCATGTTGGGCACTGTGCAGAGCGGGGTGCCAGATGCTCCACAGGGGTGTCATGGGTCAACTCACTGTGTGCTGCACCCCCACTTCTTCTGCCTCACCCACTATGCTGCACGCTCATTTTTGCAGCACAGAGCACAGTCCCCTTCCTGCTCCTCTTTGGCAGCACCTGTAGAAAGGGTGACTCTGACTGGGTTTGGTCCTACGCTTCCTTCCACCTTCCCTGGGGGTTTCTCTACCCGAGGAGCAGGCAGCAGGCCGCTGGACTCCCCTGTCCAGTCCCCAGCCTTTGGGCTCCTCTTGGAATGCCAGATCCTGTCTGACGTGCAACGGGAGCAGGAACCTTGAGCAGGAGAAGTGTCAGCCAAGTGAGACCATGGCTATAGCATCGATCTGCCCTGAAGCCTGCTCCATGTCTGGGTCAAAAAACCCTCTGAGGCTGTCAGCCAGCCATTGTTAGGGTGATGGCCTGCACCTGGCTACACCAGGATCTATGGCAGAGTGGACAGGCCTTTGGAGCTGGCAGGGAGGGCTGTCCATCAGCAGGGACACGGGAGGGGATGGTGACACTGCACTACCATGTTTGTGCCACCCAGCCTGTGTGTGAGTCCTTGTCTTACCCTGCATCTTGGGGCAGGTTTCTGCTCAGGCTTTGCCCTTTAGTCTCTTCTCTAAGGCTCATGGCATGCCAAGGCACCATTAAGGACTGGGCATCCTGCCCTGCAAAAACCACGTGGGGAAAGCTTCAGCTCCTGGAATGATAAGGGTGTGGTGGGGGCATATCCTTTCTGTAGAGTTGCTTTCTCTTGGTTTTGGTTGTCCATATTCCCAGGCTCTGTTTGGTCTGGACACCTTGGTACTGAGCTGCTTTGAGGCTGGAGACCAGAAAGATGAGGCAGAGCCAGGTGGCACCATTGGGGTTGGCATTCTGCAGTGTCCAGACCTGCAGTGTCACAGGGCTGGGGTCAGGAAGCCATGGGCTGGGCAGTCAATGGGGTGGAACTAGATTTTCATTAAGCACCCTTCCAACCCAAACTATTCCATGATATGATTATATGATCTGCTTAGATCATTCCATCTGATCATGGCTGCTCTGTTCCTCACAGACAGCTTTGGGCTGCTCACTGGGTCTGGGCTGGTTTGACTGCAGATTCCTTCCCACCAGGGTGGCAACAAGCCTTAGCCGTGCACTGAGAGGCTGCGTGGACACGGGCAGGACATTCACACACAGCTGCTGGGCCAGTTTGCCATTGGGTTATCCTTGATGTCTGGAATTTTTGCAGGTAGCTTGTAGTGGCAAGCCCAGGTTTGGAATTGCTCCCCAGAGGCCATCCTGGTATCCTGGATTTCATCAGCCTGTTACCGTTTCTCAGTCTCCTGAGCACCCTTGCAGAAGAGGGAGTGCAGAAGGGACACATCTGTTGAGATGTGGGAAGGGAATGGAGAGAGGTGACTGCTGGATGGGTCTGTGGAGTCTGAACAGCATGGGGCAGCAGCTGCCGTCTCTACAGCACCCTCTGTACATGGGTCCTTAGACACAGACTATAGTGTAACTCTCCTGTCTCCAGTGTTCCCTTGAGGCTGGCCTAAGGCCCCTGGTTGCTGTGTGCCTGGGGTCACAGCTTCCTTTGGGCAGGCTCTCACACCACTGTTGTGCCTGTGACAAGCGGCACACTCTTAGAGACAGTGGGGCCACCCTGCTCTGACCACCAAGGGACTGCTCAGGAGCCTTTCTGGAGCCACAGGTATGGTCTGTGCATGCCCAGAGCATGGGGGCAGAGGAGGATTCTCTCACAGTGGGTCCCATCTGCGGCTGACCTTCCTCTCCACCTGCCTCTCCCTTTTTGAGAGGAGAGGAAAACATTTCTCTCTCCCTGGGACCACCTCTTTCTGCAGCCCAACTCCTGCCCACCACTAAGGGTATGAGGAGGCTGTACAGCTGTCCAGGATCAGTGCAGGGCAAACATATGAGGCACAGATCCCTGAGCTGATGTCACACAGCAGATGTCACAACAGCATTGCTGTTGGCTGCTGGCTCACTCTGCCTCTCTTTGTTCACTCCTTGCTGATGCATATGGGTGCAGGTCCTGGTCCAGAAAAGCAGCTGAACAGAGCAACCAAGGGGTCCTTTTCCCCACAGGTTTTTGTCTCATTACATCCAGGTAATACTCACTATTCTGAGGAAAATGGGTGAGGGTGGATCTGGCCAGCTCTGGACTCCCTGTCCCCAGCAGGCTTCCCAGTGGCACAGTGGCCAGAGCTGCTCTGCCCCAAGACCCCGTGTCCCACTGACCTGTGGTGGGAGCCCAGCAGCCACTGTGTCAGCACTCTGTCCCTTGGGAAGCGTGCATGCCAGCCTGGCACCAGCCTGGATGGCCTGTTGTCTCTCCATCGTTGAGCTGGGGCCATCAGGCCCCTCCTTTGTCACTGAGCTGCAGCACTTAGAGCATTCTCCCTCTGGTTCCTTTTCTCCTGTCCCCCTTCCACAGCACACTTCTTGGTGTTTCTGAATAACTAGGAATCATCCAGGCAGCTCCCAGCACACCAGGTCTCCAGCAGTGAGCATACCAGGTGCCCTGGCTGAGGGATGAGTGGTGATAAATAAGCAAATCACATGGTGGGCTGAACGATTCCCCCAAATGAGCCTGTTTGTCCCAGGCACAGTGCAAAACCCTCTTCTCCTTGGCGATAACCTTTCTGTGTGCTCACATTATGCATGCATTCATGTGACTTCCTCTGCTTCACTGCCACCTCTTGATTTAAATAAAAATAATTTATGTGGACATTCCTTCAGTTAGGATTTCCCCCCCAATAATATTTCGTTGATGCTCTGAACCCAAATGGGGTCGTTATGCTTTTGCATATCATTAGGGCTTTATGAAGAACAACAGCGACATCTGCATGTGCCGCAGTGCCACGGAGATGGGGGGAAAATACGGAAAACAAACCCCAAATGAGCTCCAAGCTCATCTGGCTCTGTCTTTCCTCAGTGCCTTTGCCTCTATCAGGACACAAGTAATTGTACAGTGTAATCACATCACAGCTCATCTGAATATTCATAACTGACACAAAGACTTGGAGGAGAAGTGGGGAAGAAAAGGAAGGTAATTTAAATATAAAACAGCATGTCATTTGGAAGCAAAGTTCCCCATCCAGCTCAAGAGATCGTCTTGGTGCTGATTCTGTCTGTCCATCTCCTGTACAGAAGCGCGGGCAGTGGGAGCATCGCAGCCACAGCCCCCGCTGTGGACAGAGAAAATAAAGCACAACAACAAACAGCGGCAGAACTGCCCCCAGCCAAAGGGATGTTTGAAGAGTCGCCAACGGTGGCTAACCAGCTGCTGGTTTCCAGGAAAGAAATAGTCTATTGAGGGAGCTTTATAAAGACCCCAATTAATATGTTGTGCATGTATAAGATCTACAAAGAGCCCACTGTATTCCACCCCCCGCAGCCACCACCTTCTCTTCCTGATCAATGCCAGTGGAGAAGAATCTGTGCTACCAAATAATTGATTAATCACTTCAGTGGTGAAAACGCCCCTCTCCAAAATAGAGAAGAAAAACAAACACAAAAAGAGGCAACAGTTTGCTAATTAGCGTGTAAATTACCGCTGGTTCCATCCTGCTTTGTGCCTTTAAAAAGGAAAAGAGTAAATATAATCCCCATCTTAATGTATATGCTGTCTTCATTTCTTTTGTATTACTTTGGTATCCTTCACCAGCATGAACACAGCAGTGTGATGTTGAAGCTGTGGCTGGCTCTGCTAGTTCATTCCCCAAAGAGCTCCTATTTCCATTCCACTGGAGCTTATATTCCTTTAAATGTCTAGCGCAGCATCATTCCCCCCTTTCTAATACATCACTCTGCTGGAATTAGAAGAATCCAAGGTTATATCCAACTTCAAAGATTTCCAAGTCATCATGATTTTAGTAAAAGTAGAAGACAGATCATGGAACAAGTCCCTGGCTTTTGAAGATACGCATCACAGGGACCTTCCTCCCTCTGTCTCGTTCTCGCTCTCCCACTCTCTCCCCCCAACTTTGTACCTCTCCAGCTCTGAATGTCCCGCGCTAGCGTGGTTTAATGATATGCAAATGAAATATGCATAAAACCATTCTACTGTATGATGATTAAACACTGGAGACATTAGCCGCCGACGCTTCACTGTTTGACTATAATAATCTTCCCCGACCATCCACTTTGATTGCGGAGTTATGGAAAACCATAGCAGTTGGCAGAGAGGGAGTAAGAGGGAGCGAAGGAAGGAGAGGTGCAGGGATGTATCACCCAACTCTGCATTTATCCCACTTCAGGAGACATTTCTCCTCTTTGTACTGCATTCCTACTGCTGTCTTTTGTAATCCATCCATGCGGTCGCACCAGGGCAATTAACGGGAAAAAACACTCTTTTCTCTTAATGTTTCAAAGCTCATTAGCCAAACGATTATTCCTCATTAACAGCGAAAGCTCATTCATTAAAAGAAAAAATATGCCCAAAAGATGCCAGCACTGTTAATCCCGAGCCCTGTAGCTGGGCTGTAGATCCCATGCTAGTATTTTCCATGCAGAAGGGAAGTGCACCAATCCACACAAAAAAAAAAAAAACCACCAGGCAAAAAGAAAACATTTTGTGAGTTTTGTAAAATCCGCAAGAGAGGTAATTAATATTCCCATTGTATGACTTTATTTTTTTGTCTCTCCCTTTTGTCTCCAGTGCCCTTCCCTGGCTCAGCGCCCAGTGCCAACAGAACACCTTGCAGGATCCTCAGCAGCGCAGACAACGTAAGTAGCCAGCTGTCCTTTGACGCCCTTGTCCAGAAGCCCCTGCGCCCTCCAGACCCGGTGGAGCACCCGCACAGCTCCTTCCCTTGCTCGCCCTCCGAGTGCCACCTGGGTTTCACAAGTAGCACCTTCCAAATCTCTCTGTCTTCAAGTTTGTGCATGTCTGTGTGGCATCCCTCCTCCTCCTTCACTCCCATAGTGGATCTCGTGAAGGGCTTCAGATCGGCCCCATTCATCTCCCTGGTGATAGCAGTGAATGTAGATAAATCTCTGCTGCCTGCTTGCTGCTCCACTATGATTTTTATTTTGTCTTCTGTGTACACCTAGGTCAAAAAGTGGGATGTATACTGACGGTGGGTGAGTGTGTGTGTGTGTGTGTGTGTGTGTCTGTCTCTTCCTTACTCCCTGTCGTTCTCTCGCACTGAGGCACACAAACATACATCGCCCTGCGTGTGTTACACGCGTGCACACAAATAAATACCCCCACACAGACGCGCGCGTGTGTACACAGATGCACACACACATCTCCTCACCCCACTCACACAGCTCCTCTGCACCGACCCGAGGCGGTGTGTGCCTGTGTGTCTGTGTGTCTGTACGCACTGTTCCGTGTGCGTGTGCATACACAGGCATCTCGCTACACTGTCAAACATTCCCTCTCCTCCCAGCAGAGGCTGTGTGCAGGCTGATCTTGCCCTGTAAGAGCGGTATTCCTTCCTCCCTTCCCTCCGCTGTTCAGAGACCTTCACGTTCCCTGCTCGGGGTCCCTCCCGAGCTGCAGATTTGGCACCTTTCCCTGAGGTTGTCCAAATGGCAAATGGCATCGGCCGTAGTTCGCATTCTTGCAGCTTCTCTGGGCATTTCTCCCTCCATGTCGACTACTCCCTTTTGTTTGTTGTTGACTGGGCTGGGTGTGGTTGGGGTTTTTTTGGCATTAATTGTAAACGAACCTGAATGGCAAAACACACCAACAGCTTGCGGGGAAAAAAAAAGCCAAAAAAAAAAAAAAAGCAAGCCCCACACAAACGCCTTCTGCTGCGACAGATGCCCATGTTGCCCCTGGCATGGAGAGCGGGCACAAGGGGTTTGTTGATGAGGTTTTTTCGATTGCTGTGTTTATTGTTCGCATTTCCCTTTTCCATTTATTTTCAAAGACTCCAAGATGCCGGCCTCGGCTTGGAAGAGAGCGGTGTCATGGCGGAGACGACGGCCTTTGTCTCGCAGGGTGTGAAAGCATCCGTTGTGCTGGCTCCACTGCGGCAGAATGATGTCTAAAGGGGGGAAAAGTGCTGGAAGTCCGAGTGGTGCGATGCTGGCGGGGGAGTCCCATCCCCATGGTGCGGTCCGAGGAAGGGCTCGCGGCGGAGGAGCCTGGTCTGTAATCCTGGCACTTGTGCCTGCGGTCGCTGCCTGCCGTTTGCTCCTGGGGGTCTGGATAATCTCCCTTGGCTCTACGGCACTGTCTGGCCCGCGCTCAGGGCCCCCGTAACATATACCCGCTGCCGCGATCGCAGGGAGCTGTGGCGTTGCCACTGAATGGATGGCACTGTGCCAACTCCGCTGCCATCCGCCCTTGCAGCTCTTTTCCTCCCTCCTCCCTCCCGCTCTCCCCTCCTCCTCCTCCTCCCGTCGACTTGATGTTAATTAACACACGGGTTAATTGATTTTAAAAGCTGAAGAATTACAGTTAAGTTTTCCCACAGGGTCCGGCCGCCAGCCGCCTGGCACGGCGGTGCCTGGCGCGGTGCCGGGGGGCGGCAGGGCCCGCAGCCGGGCGGCGCTGCCAGGGGAGCCGGGCCGGCCTCCTGCCTCGTCCCGGCACGGGTCACCGCTGTGTTCTGCTGCAAGCCACGGCCACAAGCGCTCCCCTCTGCCGGGCACCTGCCCTCCGGAGGAGCGCTGCTCGGCTCGGCAGGGAGGCCGTGCCCCGGAGCCCCGTGGCGGCCCGCGGGCGTCTCCCGCCGCACGGCGCCGGCCCGGGGCACAGCGGTCCGGCCGCCACGGGCCCGTCCTGCTGCCGCACCTTAGTCCCTCTGTGGGCTCCGAGGCTGATTGCGGCGAAGCATCAAAACCAAGGGAAAGTTAGTTTGTTGTAATTACGAGAGAAATAACCCATGTGGACTTCGGTTTTTCACTCTCCCTTGCCCCAGCGTGCTGCTGGTGAGGATAACAGTGTGGCAGGAGGAGGCGCAGCAGCGCTGGGAACTTGCTGCTTTCACCTTCCTGTGCTTTCATTTTATTTCATTTTGTTTTTAAAAGCATGAAGCAAGTGAAGCGACAAGAGGAATCCATTATGCAAATCAGGTCACATTTGCATAATGTCTCATGACTGGAATATGCAAATGACTTGTATAATTTATGAGTGCCAGTGTCTGTCTAAAAGTGTTTCCCAGAATTTATAAAAACTGCAGCGTGGAGAAGCAGCTGCTGGCTGCCCTGCCAGGAGGGTCCACACTTGCTTTGCGAAGTCCGCTTGAGTCTGGGAGTGCAAACGTCTGGGAATGAGAACGGAGCCCACCTTCCCACCCTGTCCTCTTGCTTTATTTATTTCCCATTACTCCCTCCACCAAGCTCCCACCTGCTCCCCTCGGACTTCTCTGAGGATGCAGGGCTTGGGCCAGGGCACCGGGCTGGATGGCGGGGCAGTCCCACAGGTAGCTCAGCCGGGGCTTGCTCGTGTCCCTTGGGGCTGTCACCAGCCGCAGAGCCCTGCACTCTTCAGGTAAGTGAGCTCATAGGCACGATGTGCCTTGAAGAGCCGCTTGGAGCCCCTCACGACCCGCACAGTGGGATTCCTGCTGGTTTGCTCTGCGCCAGGTCCAGTCCCTACTCGGCTTTGAGCCCCATGACCCTGGGGAGAGCTGCAGGGCTGGCACTGCCCACGGAGGGACCCCAAGTGTCCTGTCCAATGCCACAGAGTTCGGTGCCAGCACTGGAAAGGTCTCTGGAATATCCGGACATTCAGGACAGGTATTAAGACATTTTCTTTTCTCTTCTCCCTCTTCTTTGCATGTCTGGTGATCTGGGGAGCGCCAAGAGGGTGCATTTGGGATCTTGCACCTGGGCAAGCCACTGTTTTGAGCTGTCTGCACAGGGAGAGGATAGATAATAATGTGCAGGCCCGTGGAAAGCTGTGAGGGTCACAGCCTGACGCTCTGGGCAGCATCTGACGAGAAGCAGCGGGATGGGAGAGCCCAGGGGTCAGGACAGCTCAGCGTCAGCCTTCCTCAGCTCTGTGCAGTCCCCGAAAGGGCTTTTGGGCAAGAAAGTGTGATTTGCTGTTCTTGAGTCTGCATTTCAATTGTAAAACCAAAATGTTTGTCTCCCTGGTTCCAAATAATTTTTGGTGTTAGATGCCTCCAAAGCAAAGAATCTCACACTTTCCATCAGTTTCAAAATACTGTGGCTCTGTGTGTGGTTTGTTTAGTGGATGCAGGTACAGGCTGTGACAGTGAGAGTCACACTGAGCATCCCCAGGACAAAATAGTGAGTTCATAAACTATGCTTTTACCTGTGGCTGGAGATTTCTGGTGTGGGAACATGAAGAGACCCTCCACATCAGGTACAAGGCAAACTGGCACATAGTCTGTGTGACACGCCAGTGAGAGGCAGCAGCACAGCCAGACTCTGAAGCATTTTATGCTTGTTGCTGCTCAGGGTTGGTGCCTGTCCTCGCACCAAGGGGTGACTGTCACCCCAGCACCAGGGGTGACTGTCCCCATGCTGCTCCTTGCTGGCACAGAAAAGTAGCTGAGTCTGACCTGGAGAAGGTGAAAGACCAGGAACAACTGGTGTGTCCCCATGGAGGTAGGGAGCTTTGTGGAGAGCAGGAAGGGCTGAGAGCAGTGAGAGAAGAATGTTTTCTTCCCTGTTGGGGTCTTCAGTGTAGCACCAGCAGATCTTACACTGGACTAGTGTGGTTCTCTGGACGGGGACCAAGGATGGGCAGACTGTCAGGGCTGGGCCATGGCTGGGCCATGGCTGGGAGGAAGAGCTCTTCCTGTGGGGCAATTTGCAGGTGTCAGGGGGTGCTCACTCTTTGTTTGGGGAGAGCCCACTGCCATGTCTCGATTGCGTGGTGACCGGTCCTGGTCACACTCCTTGTGCCAAGGGCTGCATGGGGAGCTGGTCCCACTCCCCATCCTGCTCTGGGATGTTCAGTGTCCTGATTCTGGTCCTCCAATTCACACTCTATACCGCTTTCTGATATTTTTATGACTTCCTGGGGCCTTTGCCTGCAGGGCTTGCTCTCTGTCCCTCAGCGAGATAAATTGTCTGAAACACAGATCCAGGGACTTGTGATCTGTGGCTCCTCTGTGCCTGGGGCTCCCCAGCAGAGCACAGTTTAGCCATGTGCCTACTGGCATTACCTGTTGTTATCATTTCCAGCAAGGGTTCCCATTCAACTTAGAATCACTCCATCGCCTGCTTCCATTCTTCCAGTACCAATGCTGTTTTCAGCAGTAGGACACAGTCACAGATAGCCCCCAGGAAACTGCAGTTTCCTTCCCACCTCTCCTGAGTAAGGCATGCACCATCAGGCAATGCCAGCCTCAGCTGGATGGATAATCCCAGTTTTCCACTCCAATCGACCAAACTCTGTGCCACTGGGCAGTTGCTGATGCCAGTGCAATGACCCACATTCTGAGCTGGCAGCTCTTTTCCCTCCCTTACTCAGTCTTCCAGAAGAAGGGTGAGGTACAAACAGATTTTAAGCACTGTCTGAGCAGGTCCATGAGGGCACCATGTGCCAGCAAAAAGTATCAGCCATTAGCATCACATCACCAGCCTTGGCACACCTGATGGATGTGCCCAGCATCAGGAATGGCTTACCTGCATGGGGCTTTTTGCCTGATGGTTATAGTTAAAAGCATTTGTAAGCAAAGCGTATAAAATCTTTAAATCTTTAACAAATCTCTCATTAATCCCAGCTAAGTAGATTAAAGCTGACTTCGGGCTTTAAAAAGAAGCAAGCTGATCACTTGTAGGACAGAGAAAAT